ATTAAATCGAAAAAAAAAAAAAAAAAAAAAACGAGCACTACGTATAAAGTCACTCTCGATCCTAAGCAAAGCTTCCTCTCTCTTCCAATTTCACCGTGGAAAATCGAGGGGAAAAAACTTCTCGAGATCCTGCCAGGGGAACGTTTCACGAGAAAACAAAAATGGAAATGTAAAGTCAATTCATCGCGTGTCAAAAGAACGTCTTTTTTTTTTCGTCACCAAAGTTCACCAAGTTCAATCAGATCCATAAATTTCTTCGAACACGCATCACACCATGTAATTACACCATGCTTTGACGAAATTCTCCAAAAAGAATCCCCTCCTCGTACATACTACACGAACACGAACTCGAAACACACCAACTCGAAGCACTTCTCCAACCTCGTTTCATCCAGCTCAGGATCTGCCAACGTCTCGATAATCCACACCGGTGTTATTTCTATCCGTTCTGACCATCCTCTCTGAGAAAATGATCGAAACGTCGAGAGGAAAATCGGTGAGTCGATCACAGCGTGCGGCACACGAAGCCACCGGAGAACGGAACTGACCGGCGGCGAATGCCACAAGTGTTCCGAGTGTGGAACGAGACTAGAGAGGCGAAACGTGGTTTCATTCTCTCCGTCTCCCGATGCACACTGCAACAAGAGGGTCGAGAAAGAGAACGAGAGAGAGAGAGAGAGAGGAGAGACGCGTGGAGGAGAGGAGAGCACGCGGTGGTTCGCTGCGTGAGTCAGCTGGCGTTCTCTAAGCCTGGCGTGTGTGCAAAGTCGGATCGTTAGGTCTCTCAGGAGGAGGTGGAACGAGGAGGGGAGAATGTGATTCACGTGGCCGACGACGGTCGGGGATGGCGGTGGTGGGCTGCAGAAACGTGGCTTTTGACGAAGGGAGACGTGACTCGACGAGAAAACCTCCTCCTCCTCCTCCTCTCGTAGAGGCGATGCAAGTACAACGCGAGACACGATGTAGTAAAGTTGTTGTACGATCGGTTGATCGTTGAGTAACCGTGTACCGTGGAGAATTAACGTTTTAACGAAAGGCGTTGCGAGAAGATCGAAGGGGATATAGAAAAAATCGAGAGGATAGGGAACGCGAAGCGGAGACGGTGTATCGATGCTCACTCTCGAGCGTTCGATTTACGACACGGTGGAGGATCGATAACATCTGGTGGTGGATGATCGCACCACGAAGGAAGCGGAAATTCGTTCCATCGTCGCGGGGACAGTTTTCGCTCGACGAAGGAACGAAGCGGAGGCGCTCTTTAATAGCGGCTCGATACAAACGAGCGTGAACACCGTACGGGTCTCGGTTAATAGAAATGCATCTGTTACTCGCCCCGTCCGTCGTTCCTTAAATAGCCGATAGAAATATACTACCCAGCGGGAATCAAAGGTAGCGTAAAATAAATGTTGCTCGATGCAATTAGTTATACCTTTGGCTACCACAACTCTCTGTGTGCACTGCAATTAGTTACTCCCTTGTCTCGAGAAACTTCAGCGAGCCGCATCCGATCACAAATTGTAGAATTTGTTGTTTGCTATAAAAACGACAGGAGAGGGGTCGAAATTAATTCCAACAGGGAGATATTTTGTATTTTCGAAACCAACACCTTGTAAAAATTCTTTTCTTAAAATAGTCGTCGCATCGCACGCGAACATCGTTCGCGAACGATGGACGGAGAAAAGTGAAAAATTGTTGTAATCGTCGTTGGAAAAAAATTCGACTACGCGTGATGATATTATGTTGCGTGCATCGGCTCCCTTCTCCCTCGGGTGGAAGCGCGAACGACTTATCTAATCCCATCACGGTTTCTCTCGTGGCATGGGAGCTCGTTCCGATGATTTATTACCATGAAACGAGAACTTTGAACGTGAAATACGCGATCTCGTGATTAACAGAGTTACACCAATTTCCATATAATTGGATAATACTTCCCAAGGGAAATCGATTGTAATATAATAACATATAATAATAATAATTTAATTTAGCCAAGCGTCGGTTACGGTTATTCTCGAATGTTGTCTCGCCGATTCCTTGAAGTCGGAGATCGCGGATTTCGAGATCCGCGGGATCGATCCAATTTAAACGCGATAAATGGTTTTAACGTAATGGCGTAACGCGGCAAATGCGATAATTGACAAGCAAAACGACAATGGGAACTGCAATCGAGAATTAAAATTTCATCCGTCACGAGTGGAATGGAATTTCAACCCAATATCAACACCGCATCATTAATATTTAATCCGATGGATCCTGGACTACGTAAGCGCTGTGTAATTCAATAAAACTGCGATATACGCGCGTATCTTTATATATCTTTAAACGCGCACTTTCGTTCGGGATACTTTTTATCGTCCAAGTTTGAAATCTGCGATTATCGAGATTCGATTCTTGGTATTACGAGAACGGTAATCTAAGATAAAGTAATATTAACTCCAGACTCAGACCGGTGCGTTCGGTGGTCTCATAAGATTACCATAAGATAATTACTCATAAGATAAGATTACACCTCATAAGATTATACGTAAAAATATGAGTAATCTATTTATGAAACGACAATTTAAAAAAATCAAACATAAATAAATATTGTCGCTATTCCAATAAATATTGCCGCAACAATTGCAGTGATGGCGGAGAGTCACCGCTGAAGTTACGGTATTGACTCAAGTAGTGATCGAGAGTCACCGTTGGAGAGCAAAGGGTTTTAATATTAGTTTCGAAGGTAAAATTTTCCAAATTATTTTATCGAACGGAGTAATCATCTTCGTTTCGTTGAAATAATGGGAATAAGGAATGTTTATAATAAATGAATCGATTTTGTTGAAATATTTCGCAAGAAAAATCTTGAAAGAGACACGCGTATCTCTAGTCAGTGTTGAATTGGACAATCGTCGAACCATCTCGGTTTACCACGAAAATGAAGGAAAGAGAATGCAGTTACGAGTTATGAGTAAGGAAACCTAACCGGCAATAAACTTCACGATACCGCGTCTGTTGTTCTACCATTAGCAGAGAATATAGAGACGGTTACGCTCACATACACACGTACACGAGTAACGTTCTATCGTAACACGAATAATCTCATTATCGTAAAATAAACTGGTAAATCGAGTAAATCGAGTAAATCGCGTCGAAAATTAATTTCCAATATCATATTGATGAATAATGTATACTATTATTTTTTTTATTGGAATTGTATTTTTAAATTAACTTGGAATATTAAATAATTTCGATTCGATACATTGAATCTTAATACTTAACTAACGTTTTTAAGCGTCAAATATTAACGATTCAATATAATATAATAATATTGTTTTCAATATGTATACTAGATACATCCCATGTAAAATCGAATATTATTATAATCCTTGTGTCGTATAAATAAGAAAACCAATTATAAATTTCTAGAAATTGTTTTATATTTTATCTTCACATTCTTCGCAGTTTCTATAAATATCGAGAGCATTATTACTATATATCATCGCTTACTCGACGACACCAGCTGCTAACCGATTATATTAATAAACAATTTATTGTTCATCACAAACGATTCATTGATATCTCTGATTAAAAAATACTATTCAAAGTTAAAAAAAATCTAATTAGAAAAAAAATAACAGTCTTATCGCAAATAGAATATCATTAAAAAGTAATTGCGATAAAATTAAAAATTCGTTGCAAGATCGAAAGCATCGATTTTCGATCGAACGAAATGCCACCATTTCCTCTCTTCGTTAGTAGCAGACATCGCGTTTATCATCGCGAAGATAAGTCTGGATTCGTAATTGAGCGGAATGCACGGCAGAGTTTTCTCTTCGTTGCCGATCCTTCTGTTCGAATCTGACGATTTATCTTGCCACAGCCCCCCGAACCCGTGTCGTCCGGCACGGAGGATGCTTCGAACCGGTGTAAATGGCGCGCGTACAACGCAACAGCAACAACAACAAAAACCTACACCGCGCAACAAAACCACTTACGACCTACTCCACCAACGGTGGAGCTCTCGCTTTCGCCTCTGCTACCCACGCCATTACCTTCCACGATGTTTTTATCCGTCACGGTTTACCGGATTTCGAAATTGAAAAGAATGGCGCGCCTCGTCGCTTTAATCAAAAACCCGATTTTTCAGGGATTCGTTTTTTCTGTTCTCCAGTCTTATCTCTGGAAAAACTGAATTAATGACGCGCATCGCGAGGAAAACGAGAGGTGAAAGTTGCATGCGTTTTTATACGAATCTTATCGTTCGTTTTGTTCGTTTTGATAGGAGAGATAAAAATGTATTTATACGATATATCGATGAAATTTTGAACGTTTGAAAAATTTGTGGAGCGAGTTTATATGTTTATCTCGAATTACGGATTAATTCGAACGAAAGAAAGAGAAAGCGAAGCAAAAGAGCGTAAGAGAAAAAATTGCCCACGATTACGCCTACGCGTGTCTATTGAAAGAAAAAGACCGACCCAACGTTATCTTATATAATACCGTACGAATACAAGGTTCGATCGTCTCGCAAGGATGAAACCACGCGATTTAAATCATCGCAGCATCGCGTACCGCAGTGGTTCTTAAACTCTTCACGAACATTTTCTATGAACATTTTATATTTTCCATACGTTTATTAACAAAAGAGATCAAAATATTCTTCAGTGACCGAACTTTTCCACACTGGTGAAATTATCGAACAAAAAACGATAATCTATCGAATCTGTTTGAAACGCGTCGCTAAACAATTCCAATGCAACACAATGCGAGCCAACTTGTTTAAACGTTCGAGTTGACGATGCCTGCATCGACTTTTTTCAATAGTCGTTTTGACCGAAGGTGAGAAGTGGAAAAGAGATTAAGAACCACTGACCGCGTCGTATGAGAAACGAGTCGGAGGCATACATCATGAACGTTTCGATTACCGTACAAGGTATCGCGAAGGTGTGCCGCGGCGATTTTCCTGTTGGAAAGATATCGCGCCTGTGACGGCCGTGGCGGGGCCGATCTCAATGTAAAACGGAAAAACCTCGATCTTAAGTAGTTCTAGCCTAGAGAGAGAGGACCGGTCGTGACCAAACGCGATCCATCTGTCAAGATCATTGGAACAAGCACAGCTTTATTTAGACCGGTGAGTACAATGACACCGGCCGCGATTAACTACATCTACAGAGGGATCTCACGGTGTTCGAATAATAACGAGAATGATTCTTTTTAATTTTCACTCTCGATACGACTCGATGAAAAACTCTTCAGATATATTTTGAAACATTTTCAATGGTTCGCCGATGCGAGCGTTCCTTTTAATCTTCACTTTTAATCTGCAACTTTAATTTTTACTCGAAATAGCAAAGTAAGTCATTCGCGTTTTGCGTTTGCCTTTTCAAACTAGCTGCACAAATCTGTACGGAATTTCGACGGAAGAGTTCAGTTTGCATCCAACGTGAAAAAACGGTGGTGGTAAGTTTCAAGTGATACGCTTTGATGGAAGATGAACGGAGAAATCAGAGCTTCGAACTATTCCATTAATCTCGTCTCATTCTCGTTCCGGAGTATCTCGAATCGTGCATGATGAGCTAAATGCGCGAACCAACTGTTTCAATGCGAACACCAGAGCGCGCCATTCAGTTATTTATCCGCTATCAAAGAGGAAGGGAGAGAGAGAGAGAGAGAGAGAGAAAAAATGTTCGAAAAGTAAATGGCGAATGCTATTTATAGAAGACGAAGGAGATGAATGCGTTCCAACCTCTCAACGAAGTTGTTCGACCGTGTGAAACGACGATGACGGCCAATGAGACGAGATCGACCGATTTTCAGCTTCGAAAATCCGTTTTTCCTTCCGTTTCCCGTGTTTCTTCGGGGAAATTATCATCGAGGATGTTGCGACGAGCAGATTCTTTAAACTATTCAGAAGAGAGATTTCTTTCGTCCAATGGAATTAAAGAATCGCGAGAGGAGGTTACTTAATTTGATTCGAGAAAGAGAAATTGATTGGACGACACCTAGATAAAAGTAGAAAATCGATTTTTCTGTTAATAAATTTCGCTACGTTTCGTTAAAAGAAGATTGAACGAAGAGATTACAATTTCGCTTCAAAAGAATCTTTTAGAAAATTCTAAAATTCTTCAAACTGACGTTTACGGCGTTTTTAAACTCGAGTTAGTTTACACACGTGCGTGTGTAAATCCGTTTTTCTCGGAAACACCGTTTCGAAAAATGCGCGAGAAAGAAAGGTCGGAGAATGCTCGAGACGAGAATCGATCTTATATGATCGATGGAATGTGCTTATCTATTTTCACGCTAATCGACTCGAGTTCGAAAATTCGATAAATCATAGAACTCGTAGAAACGATTTTTGCCAACTGTCAGCCTTACTTTCACTTTGGAAATGGAAGTACGGGTTTCCTAGTTTCGCGAAAGCTGCACAACAGATCCCTACGAATCCGATGACCCAGATTACACTCCAGCTACTCAGAAGTACGAGTTCGTTCGCGGGATATTGAAATCCAAAGTATCCAACTAACCGAATTTCATAGCCCCAACTTTTCTCCTCTTCGATCAACGCTAATTCCCGTCGTTATACTTTGTTTTGTTTATACTTTGTGCCTATATATACTTTTTGGTCCATTTGGTCGATTCGATTGCTCTCCATTTGCAGATTTATAAGAATTTTTTTTCTTCTCTTATACGAATTTAACGTCGACTAGTAGTAGATCGTCATTAGCGATTCTTTAATATAACCTTGTTGCCAATCTTGGAATATTAAAGTCGAGAGAAAGTTATTCAAGTTACACTTCGTCTTTTAATTTTGGAATTTCTTGCATGCAAATAGAAAGTGATTTACCGCTGTTGTTTTATTGCACAAGATTTCTTTTTGCTAAGAAACGTTGATCTTAATAACTGTTCGTTTCTAGATTCTGGATAATATTTATTATGGGTAAATACATTCGAAATTTTATTTTTTTTTTTTTTAAATATCTAAAATTGATAAAAATTAATCTACATCCTTCTTGCTTTTAGGATTTTCGATAGTGAATTGCACGTGACGATATAAACAATGTCACTTTGATATCAATGGGTGCGATACAACGTTGTAAATGGTTCCTGAAGAAGCACACATAGATGCGTCGTGATTGAATACATTTTGCAAACCGCATTCGCTCGAATTAACACGATTCTCTGAGTCACTGTTGCACGACTATTTCTGGAATGTATAATAATACACCAGTGACCAATTTGTGGATTGTACAGTCTGTGGAAGGAATATAACGAGGAGGAATGCAGAGTCGGTCAGGCATCAAAGTTTGCATACGAAGTTTGAGAGAAATTGGAGAGAACACGAGAGACCGACCGAAGTTGCGCAAAGGTAGATATTTCTTCTTAGACAATTGACAAACTATCATTTCTTTGAAGAAAGTTTAAATAAATTAGCAAGAAAAAGCGAACAAATATAAAAACGTGGATTCCAGAATTTCCTTCACGTTGTATATTAAAATTTTTAATTTTAATATACCGATTTAATTTTTTTATTTTAATAAAATTGATTCCAGTTGTTACGCTTCGTGACAATGTTACAATGTTTTCTTCAACGCAACGCATGGAATTAAGCGACACACCTTAGATTAGGTGGTTCGTTTCCGCAACATTAATCAACGGAAACAATTTAAAGAGGCTTAAAGATTCTTCTCTAGATAGCATCGTCCATAACATCTTACGTAGTTCTATACGCAACTTTATATTGTTAACCGAGGTATTAAGCAAAAATACTATAGAATAATTATTACTTAAGTAAAAATTATATATTTTTAGCTTATTACCAAAAGTAAAATCCAGATATTTAATATAACTTCAACTTTATTCGAGCAATTTTCAATCTTTTGTTCAGATACGAAATTTCCTTCAAATTCAATAATTCACGCGGTTCTCCTCTAAATAATAACTCGTTATATTGGCCAATCTCTATATTCGGAACAAGCGTTGTGAAAATCGCTTTCTTCCACCAATTTCACTTTATTTAGATTGAAGTGCACGCGTGTCAAGCCACGGTCGATCTTTTTTTTTTTTTTTCCACAATATTCTTTCGCAGTTTTCACTTCGAGATAATTAAATGAAAAATAACGCAAAAATAATTTCACGCGCTAATGAATAATTCTCACAGAAACGAACGAAAACAAGATCGTTTTTCGAACGCCAGTTTCTTCGATATCGCACAGCTGTACACGAGGGAATAAGCTGTTACAGCTGTTAGTCAATGAATGACGAATATATCAAATCGTGACAAATCTATCCTCTAAATACGAGCTCTGCCATGTGCATGAACATCCTCATCGATCGATAATGTTACCGAATTAATCGAGCCAATCTAATAGCTTGGATTTCAATTTCGATTCATTTATTATTCGACATTACTGTGCATAGTCTTAAATCGAGACAAAGATATTGTCGGATACAAAATGTATCAATGGAAATGAGATTCGCCGGAGAAAATTACTGAGATGCAAACAATCGAAAAGAAAACAACAAACGGAATCGCATTCCACGATATAAATGAATATATTAATATTAATATTTATTACTCAAAAGAAAAATAATAATTGCAGAATTATTATATTAGCTTAGATTTTTTCATTTGGAAGAAAACATATTTTTCTGTTCATCAACAATATATATAGATAATAAAAGTTGAACAATTATATCCTCCTTTTCTTTGAATTTCCTTCCTTTCTTTTAACTTATTGTTTCAAATTAAACTTTATTTCCTTAATTTCTCTCTTCAAGTGTCGTTAAGCTATTATTGCGTTATGTTAAAAAAAAAATTAATAAAAATAAAAATCAAAAATACAACAAACATAATAGAATATTTTTTTTCTAGAGATATGACTCTGATCTCCGACTATCGATAATCCTGTGTTACAAATGCCAATGTAACACAATTTTCAAAAATTGGCGTCACTATAAATCGTATTAATCGACATTAAAACGTGATTCGTTTCGCGTTAAAGAAAAGAAGGATCATCAGTTGGCAAACGACAATCGCCTTTCTTATATCGGCCAGCTAGATTTCTGACACCTTTTTTTAAAAGGAACCGAAAGACACGGCTGGTTCGTTTGGGTGGAGGCCAAGCTTGACCATCGATAACGAGGTCACTATGATGCTTACATATTGATTGTTTATTGCTACGGGTTTGCGCAAGCTGCCATGTGCCAAGATTAACGGTGCAAACCAAACCACGAACCGTACAGGACAATGGCAAGTTCAACTTTCGAGTTGGATGGACAATTGAATAGTTGGGCAGAATGTGTATTCACGAAGAAAAAAGTACCGAGTATTGCGTTTTGAATATTTATCATGTGTAAAAATAATACAATTGCGAACATTTAATCAATTAGATTGAATAATATAAATAAAATAAATAAAAATGAAGTAAAGTAATTTGTGAAATTAGTTTTTAATTTTTATCTTGAATTAAAATTAATTAATTTTGCTGCAATTTTCTAAAAGTAATCAGAAATTTAATGATAAAATACGAATGTGTTAGTTTATATACAATTCCACTGTTATTTTAATTAAAAAGTAATCAAGAATAAAATAAAAAATTACTATATTTAAAACTACTTTTTTGTCTGCGATAATCGATAAAGAGCAAAGGAGGGAGGGACGACAAGGATTTATCTTTAAAATTACATTTAAACTTTAAATAGATACGATCTACCCAATCGAAAGAAAAGAATAGAAAAAATAGAAAGAACATCGAACCGCCATCTATTTTAAATCTTCTATTTATCCACGTTATTTTTTGCAACACGTGAATTCATACTTCGAGGTTATCTCGCGTTAAAATTTACCAATTTCTCTTTAACTATCACGCATATCACCGTGAAATACTATTCTAATCGTTCGACGCGTCTGCGTAACCCAGTAACCCAGTATTCTCAAATGCATAATACAATTGTATAAAAGGTGATACGATAAATAAATCGTGAGGTGTATGCAAATGTCGTGATGAAGGAAAATGAGGAGAGATTATGGAAATGAAATAATGAAAATATTCGAAATATTATAAATTTATATCAGAGTTACTTCATCTTTTGAAAATGAAGAATTTTGATTCGTGACAATAGAGATTATTTTTAAATATAGAAATCTGATTTTTAATTTTTTAATTATTATTATTATTATTATTATTATCATTATTCTCTAAAATTCCAAAATATTTTTTCCAGAAAAATCGCAAAAAATTAACCGGCATTCGAATATTTCAGATTCTACACGAGAAATTTTTCGCGATGACATGGAATAAAAGGGTCAAGTTTCCAGGAAGAAAATGTTTCCATGGTCCCCAAGGACGAGTCGCTTCATTCCAAGTCACCGGTAGTGGTGTAATTAAACAGATAATTACGATCGCGCGACGCGATTCCTGGAGATCCAGCCTCGTTTTACCGTGCAATAAATAAGCTTGCGTACAGGAAACGACGCCATATTCGTCATAGCGTCGCAGCTCGGGAATAGCTTTCGTATGTAATGTCGTCTGCACGGCTATCCGTGCACGTGAACTGCGTAAATACCATGTACAAGAATTTTCAGTGAATAAATTGAAGACAACTTCATGTCTTGTTTATAGAAGAGTGATGACAAGTATTTTTTGATAAAAAATCGATTATATGTTAATTACGATTTCTCGTTTGTTACTACTAGAATACGAAGTTACAAATTATCAAAGGAATTGATGAGAATCTGATAGTCTAAAAAGAAAATTATTATGCAACGTGAAACAGTGAAATAGATTCGTCAAATGCGTAATAATTTCTAAACGTATCACGATTTTTTATAGTACGTATGTGAATAATGAAAATAACTAAGACGTAGGTTATTGATGACCAACGTGTTAAAGAATGCGATGAATAGATTATTTTGAATAGATTTAATTATCTCAAACATTTTTGTAAATTATTTTCACGAATAGTACTTTATTTTTTTATTTTTTTAGGTATTTTTATAATAATAATTTAAATAATTATATAGCATGATAAATTTGAACAATTTAAAAGAAGAAAATTGATTAATTCAAAGAGATAACAAACAAAGAGATTCTAACAAAAAGTTCAACTTTTGATTATATATAATAAGTTATAAGTTTAACTTATTTTGATTCACTGAAACAATTGTATTCATACTTCAAAATCATTTTTTATTCCAATGAAAATATATATTCTATCAAGTTTATATAAATATATATTCTATCAAGTTTATTATGGTAAGAAAATGAATTCTTTATGCTAAGTGTATCTTTTTTAACAATTTTTTATGAGATATTGTTGTGAGCATTAAAGATTAATTAGTTACAATTCTTAATTTAAAATACTGAATTTCATACTTTGATTCACAAAATGATATAACGAGAAATTTGAAGATAACAAAAGACAGTTGAGAACTACTCTTTCATATCAAATCAATAATAAATATATCAATTATATTAATAAATAGTATTTTGCAAAATTTTAAATAAAAATGAACAATATATTGAAATATTTTAATAAAAATGTATGGTTCTTGAAATAAATTAATCTTTATAATTGATTTAGATTGTAACTGAATTAGAAATATTAACTATCTATTTATACTTTTCTCATATTAAGTAATATTTTATATATATATCTTTGTTTTATATATATTGAGTAATGTAATTATTTATGTTCTGAAATATTATTACTCTATTATTATATTTATACTACTATTTATTTTATTTATTCTATTTACTTTGCTATTTACTCTACTTTACTATCTGTCTCTACTCGCTTACTCTATTATATTTATTAGTATTCTTCTAACGTTGTAAAAAACTTTTAATAATGATCAAAATAGTGAATGATTCCTATTATATGAAAATATAAAATAAAATATTCTTTGAGAAAACTTGCACGTACGAATATAAAATGAAAAGTTTCATGTAATTAGAAAAAAATGAAAAATTAAATATAAAATTCAAGTTTATTTAGCTTTCCAATATATATCTGCATAATATATTTTGAAAAAGATATATGAAAAGTTAAATAATAAATTAATAATAAGTATACTAATCTATTTTTTTTCAGAAAATATGATGTAATTCATATAAAATCTATCAAAACACAAGTAGCACTAACTAATGCATCTTCAACGATAAAATCTAAATAAAATCTGAATAATGTCTGAATAAAACTTATGACAGTCCTAAATATATTAATGACACACGATTTATCAAAAAATACAGTAATATTTTAAAATAAATAGCACATATATATAGTACATCTTATACATATACATATATATATTAGTACATTACACAAATATATATACATTATAATTGTATATATATTTTATATATACATATAAAAAAAACATAATAATTATATATACTTCTTTATCAAATAGAATCTAACCTCAAATCAATTCAACTTAACAACTTTGAAAACATTACAATATCATTTTGAAGCTCAAAACTTATATCGATATTATTATGTTAAGTAATTACACTATGTTAAATGAATACTTTATATATAATATATATTATATAATATACTATAAATATACTCTTTCTATTTACTACTAACTACCATAAAGTGGCATTTACTATAATTATCTATAATATTTTATCTTATTAGAAATATTATATTCATTATTTTTATCAAATTTCTAATCTATCAAATAAATATCTTTATAAATATTCAATAAAATAATAAAATTAAAATGTATAAGTGATATCTATATATAAGTACATACCTGACGGGAATCATAGGCGTCGGAGAAATGTTCAAATTCGGCTCCGCCGTGATGTTGCTCGCCGGCAGGGCCCTTACGTCGATCATCACCCGCGTTACGATCCATTGCGTCGAAAACATGGACGACCGTATCGGGCACACCGTCACACGTATGATTTTCCGTGCTCAGGGCAGATTCCTCTGTTTTGCCCTTAACGAAGAGGCGCGAGATCGCACTCCACATTCAATGAAATCACAGCATTCGCGACGGTTGCAGCAACGATCCGTTCAAACGAGTCCTTGTTCTCGTCATAGCCGGCGAGACACTGCGTTCAAAGTATTTCGCGTTATTCGATACGCATACACGATTATTTCTTCTGTCGCGGGATCATCAGGCACGTTTACGAGTTTATTTCGAACAATTCAAACATTCCGTTTAAAGAACGCAAAGGTTAGGTAGCACGAATACCGCTCAACTTCATTCGAAATAAGGTTAGAGTGTGCGCTTGGACGATCGTAATATCACTTACGAATAGATTGTTCACATTAGAACGATATCACCTTCAATTTCGAGTCTATTCGATAGACGCAAATCATCGATTCGAAATATTTACAATAAGATCGGTAACGAAAAAATTTAAATAATCACAGGCTAACTTTATGGCTCGTGCCGGAACACATACAAGGCTACAATAGACACGATATTTTGAAACTTCGAGCAGCGTTCTCTCGACATGCAGCGCTGTACGCAGTATATTTAAAAATTATACTTAAAATAATGCCGAGTTACAACAAAATGATGCAAAGAATGAATAGTAAATCTAAGGACACTCTTCTACTGTGTCTACGGAGGACTCTGCTATTTTTGTCAGCAATTCTCCTCGCGCGTTCTGCACTCCACGGGCAATGTGCGAGCTTCTTTATCGATTTTGCGCGAAACAGTGGAAAAACCAAGAACAGGTATTAAATTCAAAGTAGCAGAAACATATCACACTAGAAATTTTGGGTACGTCTTCAAATTTAATTTCTTTGAGAAATGTCTCTGTTAGTCGATTCTTTCGATTGATGTTGCAAAAATGTTATTGGCACCTGTAAAAGGGGCGTACCTTGCGCGATTCTATTTCGTTAAAATAAATAATATATTTTTTTGTTCTTTAAACTTAAATTCACGACGTGCTTCTTATTTGTTTCATAAAATTTTTCTTTATAATTTATCTAAAATCCAAATAATCAGATTCTCGTTGACAGCGGTACGAAAGCACACGAGAAGACTACTGTCGTACACAGCACACACTTCATATTAGCACCACTAACGATTCGTTGGTTTTATACAATCGTTATTATCTACTTTCCGCACGAAATTCTTAAAAATCACGATTGCATATATCGATGCACGTTAATTCTCAAATAAGAAACATGGTCAGCACGAAAAATCGTCATTTCGCACGAACATCCAGTCCACGGCACGTTCGCCGTCCATCGTGAAAACGACCATCGATTTGAAACGAGAATATCGTTCAGCGATACATCGAAACAGATTCGAGAACAGTAGCCATATTCTTTCCAGTTAAATCAATTCAGGGCAACGATATTTTAAGAGAACTATAATTAGTCTTTTTTTTTTAATTCTAAACGTATGAAAGATATTTTTATACATATTCAGTAATGTGAAAATATTGTAATAAAACTTAAAAAATTTTCAAATAATGAACAAATAAAAATCAAGATTGAATTAATTTTAAATATATTATAGCAAGCGTGATTAAATCTTATTGGCTGAAATACAGTTTAAAAAATCACGTGCCTATCTAAATCGTCGAATGAGAAGTTTCTTTTAGATTCATTCTAAAAGCTTATGTTTTGTTATAAAAATTTCATAATGCAACGATAAAATCAATTTTTACAATAATTAAGTACTGCATTTTTTTTATTTAATTATTGTAATATAATTGCATATATATAATTAAATATTTATATATAAAACTTATATATTATTATAATATAATTGATAATATAATTGAAAATTTATAAAATTATATATAAAAGTAATTTATATATTATATGATTCCTATAATATTCAAAATTGATTTTTTTTTAATAACATATAATATATTGAAATTAAAATTTTAGTTAAAATAATGCTTTCATGTATACATATAGTGCCATCTACATGCAGAAAATTAATTAGAGATAAAAATTTATAAATTAAATTAACAGTCTTTATCATGTAAAAGTTTTCTAGAGTAATAAATTTTAACAAATTAAAATTAATAAAACTCTAAAATTTATAAATTTAATAAATAATATCTTATATAATAACAAAAAATTTTGTATAAAGTTAATAAATTTAATTAATTATAAGATTACAAATCATTATATTAAATTTATAAATTATAAAATTAATAAATGGAAATAAAAAAATATCATATTTAAATATTTATTAAAAATCTGTAAGCTACTTGCACTGCTATCGGTATGGCAGTTAGCTTTTGTCTGCTAAGCTATAGTTACCTAGTGGAAAATGATCTTATATGTGTCAGATACGAGATACACAGGATAGATAATATTTTGTAAATTTTATCTTGTTCTGAAATCGACTTCGAAAAAAATAGCTTTCTTATGCCCTTTACAAAAAAATTCATAAAATCCATTTTATCCCTAATCCTATCTATCTATACAAAAATTTATTTAAAATCAATAATAAGTCTTTCTTTTAATAAGTTTGCAAAACGTTCGATCTTTGATCTTAATATATAACTATATATAAAATTTAAATATTTTATATCTAATATTACTATTCATTATATATGAATATCCGTTGTTATTATATTCATACAAAAATCTACGTATAAAACCAGTCATCGATTGGTCCAGTCAGATCTTTCATCTTACGATATGATTGAAAAATCAAAGGAACATAAATACACTCACCAATATATGCGAAGAATCTGTACTGCCATCAATACTACTGTAATCCATAGAATATCCATCACGAAATATTCATCAAATAATATCAAGAAATGGAATATAACAAAGTATAGAAAACATTTTAAATATTTTAGTACTGATTATTTGAAAGAGTTGAAATAA